GAGACTCTTAATCTCAGGGTCGTGGGTTCGAGCCCCACGTTGGGCGACTTCGATTTTGTTTTTATTTGCGATGTATATTTTATTTATACATATTTAAAAAAAAAAAACAAAAAAAGGACAATAATTATTCAATCGATACGCTTAAATTTTGGATACAACATCAACAAAGCTGACGATGGATGATGGTGCCGCACAAATTAGCTCAACTCTCAACTTTGTTTATGCGTCTGCGTCGAATGACAACTACATAGTCAGTATTTTGTTTGCATGTTTGAGCGTAAATTTTTTCTAGTTTTTCAAAATTTTTAGATTTATGGAAAAACGAATTGTAAAAAATGATGATGAGAACGTTTTACGAATTTTATTATTTATTATTATTTAATTGCATTGTGTTTGTCCGAAGAAGCCTTAGAAGCCAGTTATAAAAATATAATGGGAATGTGCGACTTTCCCATAAAAGAAAAATGACGAGAGATTTAATGGCTGATTTGTTATTAATGTCGGAACCGGAACTATTATCACTTAGGTCTACAAAAAAAAAGGAATTTGAAGAAATTGAGATATACATTTTAAACTACAATATTATAAAATACATTTAAAATAAATTATCTTATTTATTGAGCAAATTTAGAAAATTTCTTATTTAAGATCCTTTTTAAATAAAATATTAAATTATAAAGTTTTTTCAATAACTAAAATTCATAAAGGAGTTAGTCATTTCCTGATACCGAATGAAACGAAATTTGCCAAAGAGTTAAAAAGTTGGACTTTATAAGCTTTCATTCGATTTTATTACATTCTGATCACAAATATAGCTAAAAACTAATTTTTGAGAAAAAGGATGTATGGGTCATGTCCTTTAACCGAACGAAACGAAATTTGCCACAGAGCATAAGACCACAATTTCACAGACAGCTACCAATTTTCGCTTTATTTTGCTTATAATTGTAGCTAAAATTAAGGATGTACGTATGGGAGATAGTTATGTCCGTGCACCGATATTGCCGAAATTTCGATTTTTTATTAATTTACATATTCCGAAGCAGTGCACCAGTGTCTTTTCACCATTTGGGTTATTTAAATTCCAGTCAGAACAGCAAAAAATACACAATTCATATTTCATTGTTATGACACACAATGGTTAACCGTTATTCAATTTACTTTTACTCAATCATAATTTAAGTAATAAACGTCAATATATTTTATATACGTTATTCACTCTTGCATTATTTACCCGCAAAATTTTTGCACTCGGTTGACCGCGACAACAGCATTTTTCACACACTCATGCACAGCTATATATGAATGTGTATATACCTATTAGAGTGTCCCAGAAAATAAGGGAATTTTTTTTTTTTGGGAAATCAGGTAAATTTTCTCTTTTTGGTTTTATCAAGTGAAAGATGTTAAAAAAAAAATAAATCCTTCGAAATGCGTATATATGTATGTTTGTATTTGTGAAAAATATTAGGGAAATAAAAATTTGCACACACATTAGAGCTACACCCTTACATGAAATGCTTCTAACTATAAGTTAACTTGAAGTTGATTAGGGGGGAACTAAAGGTCACTATTATCTGTATATTTTCTCTGAAGAAGGCTAACTACATATATTTCTATGGCGATGGCCGCGAAATAGTCAGGGGCGGTTACCCCCGCATGAGAAGTCAACTAACTAACTAATTTTGCGCATAAAGTATCAATAAAACAACCAATATTTATTTAATTTTTTTACTTGTTTATTTATTTACTTTATTTAGTTAACATTACATTTGAAAAAAAGTATTTATGAAGTTCAGAAAGAAATAATACTCAAAGTAAAATTTGTATGAGAATATTTAAAAAGAACCTTGTTTAAAGAAAACAATCACCCGATTACGTTTGCATTACTCCTGCACTACTTTTCAACTAATTACAAGTTAGATTTTTAATCTATTTTTTAGAAATCCCGCAAAAAAGCTAACTACAAGTTGGTTATTTTTTATCGATTGATAAATTTTTCTGCAGAGACGAACTTTATTTAGGCCAGAAGGAAAATATATGGTTGTGTGCATAGAATTCGCAGGGACAACCTAATGTACATTTATACATAGCATATTAAGGTGAGACAAAAAATATATGTTTATTCGAATGTACGTATGATTAAATATGTGTGTAGGTATATGTTTTTAAGTATCCATGGAATGCAGCCGTATTCTTGGCACTTCACGATTGAGTTTAAACCGCTAATGGATTTACATACATGCATACTTAAACATATATATAAATATGTATGTATGTAGGTTTCTGAGTTAGCGAAAATACGTATGTATGCATTTCATGTATTTTCGTGGTATTAAAATCCACGGTTAAGCTTGAAATGCCCATAGGGCTTTTGATATACATATGCACATTAGGGTGGTCCAAAAACAGTAAAGTCAGAATGGTAATGCTCTCAGACCCTAGGATTTTGAAATCAAACAAATTTTTAGAGTTCGCTCAAAGCGCTCAAAGTTTTCCATACATTTTTATATAACAAAAAATTAAAAAACAATTTTTCGTAGGAATGGTGTAGAATTCTTGAAAATCAAAATTTTTCGATCGGAAAACCCTGGTTCTCTTCAGGAAACTTTCGGTAATAATACCCAATTGTTTATTTAACCATTTTTTAATACTAACGAGTTTTTATTGTTCCCACTACCGCATTTTTCCGGGTTTTTGGCGGACATATAAATCATGGTTGCACTGAAAAAATGATTAACTAAACACTTGGGTATTATTACTGGGAATCTTCTGCAGATAATCAGAGTTCTCAGATGGAAAAATATTGATTTCTAAGAATTCTATATCATTTCTACGTAAAGTTGTTTTTCCCCCATATAAAATACGTGGAATACTTGCGGCGCTTTGAGGGACCTCTAAATATTTTTTGATTTCAAAATTAAAAAAAAAAGTATATTTTTTCGATATAGAACAATTCTTGGGATGAGCGCATACAAATTCCGACTTTACTTTTTCACATGCATTTTTGGACCACCCTAATGAACATGCATAAACGTATTTATTTCCATCAGGCATACACATGTATTTTAGCATTTCTTTTTTTGAAAGGCTGTGAATGAATTTCGGTTAAGCACAGATTTGCATATAATACGCCAAAGGGAGATTTAAGTTAAAAAAACCTCATTGCTTGGAAAATGATATATGTAATGCATTCATTCGGCTCGCACCTACTCTGAATCTTTACATGGCTGCTCATGAAAATCACTTAAAATTTCAGATTCCAGGACTTTACAAATTAAAAAAAAAAACAGATTTGAGACAACAGATTTGAGACAACAGATTTGAGCAAGAAATGAATAATTAACTTAAGGATGCCTAATGCCGGGTCCAGAAGACCACACATGTGGCGAAAGTTTTCCATCGTCATTCAGCAGGGAGTAGCCAAAAATAATTTTCCTCCATTTGGAAACCGAAAGTTGCGCGAATTCTCTCTACAGTCCTCCTTAAAGCGAGATCCCTCAGCATCTCGATCATTTGCGCATTAGCCGATGGAAGATAAGGACGATCCATCAAATGACCGAGTGTTTTATGGCTTCGACGAGGTCATAATTAGGTTTTATCGCGGGGACGCTCAGCGCGCCTCCAGCTCCGTGTGCAGCAACGGACGTGGACATTGAGGCTCCCGAACCGGCGCCGGAACCGGAGATCTCCGCTGCCTCGGCTGCTCTACTATGTCGTCTGCTCAAGGGCGAAGTTGAGGTAGCATTAATCCAAGAACCGTGGGTTTGAAATCAAAAGTCTGTGGATTGGGTCCCACGGGTTACGAGCTGTTCACAAAAAGTGTCAACGTTAAAACTACTTATATCTTTATTTTACCAAATTTTAGTGATGGTGACATCGCGACAACGCGATTTGAGCTAGAGAGCACATTCATCGTGCTGGTTTCGCCATACATGCCCTATGACCCCGCTCATTCAACGGCGCGGAACTTGATGACCAAATACGAACACGGCCACATTTTCTTTGGTATCGATGCGAATGCCCACCAAGTCCATTGGGGCAGTACAGACATATATTATCGTGGTGAGTTACTTTTCAACTACCTCTTCGCAACTAACCTATCACCTTCCACTACTAAAAACCGTAAGGAAGTGTTAGACATAATCTTATACAGTGAAAGCTTTATCGAGGTAGTTGAGAGTTGGCTGGTTCTGGATGAGCACTCCTTCACTGACCAACGCTATATTGAAACAGTATTGACTTTCTCTCCAACTATCAACAACTTAAAAAACACAGATTGGAGCTATTATGAAAAGCTATTTGCAGACAAGTTTTCTAGCTTAGCCCCCATAAAAAACTAAATGTACCGAGGATTTAGAAAACATGGTCAATGTAGTTACCGCGACCTGCTCAGTGGCCCTAAGTCAGGCATGCCCTGACCCAAACCGTGGGGTGGTCGCCGGAATTAGACTCGCTTTGCTGGAAGCAATTCAATAAGGCATAAAGACAGGTAATCCGGGTCTATAAAAAAGCTTTGAGAGTTTTCTGTGGTGGCGTCGAAGGTATTTCCGGACCTTGGGCCCATCAGCCTTTTCTCCTTTGCGCTTAAGACGCTTGAAAGAATTGTCAGCAGTTTCCTCTCTGACACCATCCACAGTCGTCTATTGTCTGACGATCAACATGCTTCTTTTGTAAAAAATGTCCAAATCTGTACAAATTTACAAATCGTGTGATCCCAGGTTAAGACAATCGAAAGAGAAAGTAGGCCAGATAGTTTGAAAGCTTTCGTTTATTCCGCCATAAAAGTCTTACAAAAAAAAAGCTCCCTTGCCAACGTTCATAATGAAAAGCCTTTTTTGACAGAAAATACTTGTATATGATTTTGGTCGCGTTGTCCAAGCCCCAAGGCCAAGTCCGAGGTTTAGGGTTTACTGTTTCAAAAATAAAAATATATTTTTTCATTTAATTTGTAGAAACGTATTTTTTAATAGTTTCGTTTATTTTTTTAATTTCTGTATTTTTTCAATTCTAAATTTTACTGGTTTAAAAAGAAAAATATATTTTTTAAATTTCTTTAAATTTTTAGAAAGTTATATTATTTAAGTTATTATTTTACTTTTTTAATTTAATTTTTTTTTTAATTTTAGAGTTTGTTTTGTTTTAAAAATCAAATTTATTTTAATGTATTTAATTTTAAGTGTTTTAAATCATTAACCTTTTCCCTTTTCTAAATTTTTTTATTCAATATTTATTTTGTATTAAAGGAAAATATATAAGTACATACATATGTATATTAATTTAATTAAATTTTTAGAAAATTTAGTAGATCTTTCAATTAGTCTTCCGAAAGACATAAAACAGCTTTCAAGATAGTTGCCAGAATTGAAAGTATAGTGCGGTGAGAGCTCACCTTCATGCAGCCAATGGGAGTCAGTAGAAGACTGCGCAGGTTAAATGTGCGTGTATGTGTACGTTGTAACTACGTAAATATCCATACATATATACTCGTATATGTACAGCATAATTTCTGCAAATTTTTTTTGCAATCGAATAGAAGGAGCAAAAAACCGAACGCCTGCATGTTAAATGCATTGCCATGATGACTAAAGCCTTGTCAAATAGGATTACTCAACAACTTCGTTTTTTTTTTTTTTCGCCAGCTCGAACGCTAACGTGTGTGTATATTTGTAATTGAATTGGCGCCACTACTGACCGAATATCGGCTGACGCCATAAATTTTTATTTTAATTAAAAATCAAGCAAAAAATCTCGTGTAGTCCATAGTAACTTTCGCTTTGTTTTAATTTATTTATTCGGTGGCTTTTAAAAAAAAAAATATTTACTTTGCAGCTTTTAACAAACACACTATATATGAACTTGTGGTAATGTATGTTACAACTGCGTTTATTCTGACAATATTTATATAGATATGAAAGTTCAACTGATTTAATTAATTATGCTACTTAAGCGTGTACATAAATTATAAGTTTTTTGCGATAAATATTTACATTTTATTAATAAAAAGTGCCTTTGAAAAATCAGAAAAAATTCACTGCTAGAAAATATTTCCACAGTGAAAATCTTATAAAAAAAAATAAATAATGAATAATTACATTAAAAAGTTAAATTAACATTTAGTAAAAAAACGCGAGAAGGTTTCGTTGCGTGAAATGATTAATTGGCACTGCTGAGAGCTTGTCGAGTAACACATCACTGCACTGCATTTGTACGGTTAATGAGCGGTTATGTGCCCAAGGGAATTCCGAAAAAAGGTAAATTCATATACATATTTAAAACATACAATTTAAAATCAAATTAGATATTTACATACGTATAAGTATCTTTCCTTTTCTGCTGCACAGAGGCGGGTGTTTATCTTGGCTGCAACAAGGCAGTGGTCCGAGTCGATGTTTGGGCCGCGGAGTGTACGCACGTCTTAAACACTGGAAGTGTTCCTTCCTTCTATTTGGTTTCTCGTTTTTCGATATGGAGACAGCCACGTAGCTTGAGAGATCTTTTTGCGCTTGAACCTAGTACTGAAAACTGTCATGTTTGGGGCCCCGGCGAACGCCCTCCTCGAATCCTCGAATATTATCAAACGCCCTTCCAACCCAGTCCGAAATTAATGCTTCTGTGAATTATTGTTGTAAAGGACCATCCCAACCTACAGCTTTCAGCGCTTTAAAAGAATCTAACACCCACTGAACCTTGTCCTTGTCAAATAGGGAACCAGATCTGGTTTTAACCGACTTCCAAAACAGGAGGAGGTTATCAGTTCGTCGGAATATTTATTTTTTATTTTTTATTTTTTTTTTATGTATGTTACCGCATAACTTTGGACCACGTCAATTTCGATAATTATTTTTGCGATCAGCGGATCATGGGATATATATATATATATTTTTTTTTATATGGGAGTTGAAGTCGGTTTTTTTTTTTGCTAAAAATTACTTGTATATACATATAACCAACCCACAATTGATGTCCTACCTAAACAAGAGGCATATCACGATCTGGAATTATTTTTGGATTAAGATATCTTGACAGTCTTGTCCATAATGGCGAAACGAACTGAATTAAAATTTTTGTTTCAATGTTCAACTGTGTGTAAAAACATTTGTGTAGAATGTCACACGCAGCAAAATTGCTAATTGCTAAAATCGTCATACATTTGCATAATTAATCATCAATTATTGTGAAGTGGCACGAAGTTGACGAGCCAGAATCTCTGCATTGCCGTGTAGTAGTTGCAGTTTGCAACTTGCAACAATTTTCTGCTACATATAATTAACATAATTTTACACATGCAAGCACATCCATTAAATTCCATACATGTTTACATATACAAGTACATAGTCAAATAATTAGAATCCTATGACCAGACGTATATATAGAGCTATTTAGCTGGTTTTGTATGTGTCATGCGGCGTTGGCATATTAAACAAGCGTGTGCTTGAGCAACTACTTGAAAGCGTTGTTGCATCGTTGCTGCGTCCAGTTGATGGCGGCGGCATGGCGTTACTCTCCGTATTAATGTGTCGCCTCAAACAATGAAGTGTGCAATTTGCTCAACTACTGCTAATTTGCATTTGTCTCGACCGCAAATAGGAGCAGCAGAGCCATAGCAGCTACGAGTGTATGGTGTGAGCAGTCAGTGTGGTAGGAAATTAGTTGCAGATACGGCTGGCTGGCTGACTGACTTGGTTGCCTAACAAGTTGGGTCGGCAGCCGATTGCTGGCAGCCGCCACCAGCTGGCAAGCCAAGTAGCTGCCGCACTTCATTTTATTGCATAACATTTGGCACATTGACTTAGAAGTATGCATGGCTATAAGTTTGGGATCCTCATATACAATGGCTCTTACATATACCACTTCACTTCAATACACTTCAGTTGGTTGCACTCATCAAGGTGCAAGTAAGCGAATCGACAGTGGCCTATGCAATCTGCGCTTATATACATACATATGTACATTAGACTGTACCAAAAAAAAAAATGCGACGTGCAACTTCGACTCTAGACAAGCCAATTTTAATTTTTTTTATGTTTTTTTTTTTGTTACCAAACGTAGCGCCACCTTTTTGTATTTTTCGTCATATTTTCAGCATTTACGCTCTGATCTTGAAGTATGATGTATCGATGTTCTTGTTTCGAGGCGAAAATTTTTGTGTTCCAAAGTTCATTGAGCTCAAGTATCCCTCTCTAATACTTACGCACCAGATATCAATTTTTTCAACCCTAACGTACCACCCTAATACCATTTAATTAAAGCTTGCCAAAAATCATTAAATTTTTGCTATGGCAGTGATTCGATTCGAAGGAAATTTCGATTTTTTTTCTGCAAAATATGGGGTGGTCGTCTTTTTTAAATTTTCAACGTATTTTCGACATTTACAGTTTGAGCTTGAAGGATGATATATCGTTGTTCGTGTTTCGGGGAGAACATTTTTTGGTGCACGCACTAGATCTCAGTTCCTATCAGCCTAACGCAAGCAAATTAAAACTCTTTTGCTGAGCTCATTAAACTTTTGCAAAAGGCAGTAAGTAATTCTATTATTCCAGAAGCATTTAAGAAAAAAATTGTTTCCGAATCTAAGCGGGTTCACCGACAAATGTAAAAAAGGCGATTCTAGGTTCAGCCAAAGAAATTGTTTACAAAACTACTAAATATAAACTCAGGGCAGCATGTGTAACTTTTTTTACCTTTTAAGATGGTACGATCTAATGTACATATCCACATATATGTATATGTATATGTGTTTGTGTACATTCGACATATATAAATGAGCTGACATAGGCGAAGAATGGCAAATGGCTCAACTGTTGATGATGATGATCAGCAGCAACAAAATGAACGTCTACTTACGAGTTATTACCGCGTGTTTTGTTGCTTTGTTTCAACGCCAAACTATGTAGTTCTACCCTATGCTCATGGTCATCATGTTGATTGGCCACTTTGCTTAACGCTCAACTACGTATACGAGTGGGCTACTTGACATGCGGTGGTTTCAGTGCGAGCGTAGTAAGAGATAGATTTTGGCAAGCCCTATTAACTATCTCGATCTTCTTATTTTGCTCATTAAT